AAGAGTTCCAGAGTTTCAGGGTGTAGTGGCTGAAGACACAGCCACCGATGGTGGAGCAGAGAGGACGAGGGACAAACAGGAGGCCGGAGCCAGCCGAGCGGAGGCAGCGAGTGGTGAAGTGGAGGGTTAAGCAAATCGGAGAGGTAGGCAGGTGCGAGGGCATGAAGGGATTTGAAAACGAGTGAGAGGATCTTGAAATCGAATCGTTCGGTAATTGGGAGCTAGTGGAGCCTGGCAACTTGGGATCGCGCTGTAATTGGTTTCGGGCTACATTGGGACACAATACAAGTGGGTTTCACTTTTATTGAAGAATGAAAATGATCCAATTTAAGTGGGTTGGGCTGGGCGGAGGGTGGGGTGGAGAAGTGTCTTTGCATTTCTATAATTTAAACAGTGGCCATTAAAAATGTACTAGTTATAAATTTTTCAGGTGGGGCATTAAATACGAGTGTAGCTCGAGATGAAAAGTCTTGAGCTTTGTGTTTCCAGGTGGAGGGGGCGGGGGGGGAATTGAATTCATCTGGACGGAAGGACTTAGCTAGGTAGCAAAATATAAAAAAAAGTAAACGGAGAGAATTAAGACTGTACGATGCAGCCACTAAATCTAGTTCTGTCAATGTGGCCAAAAAGGTCCCGGAAAGGGAAAGGGAAGCCACTTTGCTACCCAGAGTGAAGGACAGACCGATAAGTAATGTTGCTGTAATGACATATATAAATCTCCCAAGTTTAAATAATGGCAGAGAGCAGAAGCAATCTGCCTCCTGAATCATCCTCTCTAAAACAGCATCTTGTGTCATTATATAACCAATATATACTCTTGCTAAATACAGACATTGGGTGTTGAAGACGGCTGGAAACTGGCTGTTGCTAAACCGAACGAACTCAACTGATGCCCTGCCAAGAATAAGTTGAAATGCAATTTGGTGTTTTTGCAGTGAAACTCGCATCTGATGGGGTTATTTGTTTCGGGCCTCATCGTTGCTGTCCCACCCCGCTCTCAGCCACCCCTTGTCTCTAAAGCAAACACCTGCTGTTATTATACATCTTCCGCAGATGCTCCAAAGAGTTACTAACATGGCAAGCTGGTGCAGTGTCACTTTAAAGTCATTGCTAACCCAATGATGTCACCTTCTGTGCAGCATTCATTGTTACAACAAGGGAGTCACACTGGATCAATGGATGTCTCAAAGCATGTCACAGAGTTTACTGCAAAGGTATAGTGATAGAGTATTTTGTAGGGAAACTACACTGTAAGTTGGCCAATGACATAATTATTCTCCTTTGGGGAAGATAAGCCTGGTCTTCTTGGAGCAGGAATGTGGGAATCGAGCCAGCCCTCTGTGACAGTCGCGGTAGTCCAGTTCCTGAGCCAAACGGATCCGCAGTATTCCAGGGAACAGCTGATGACAGCACAGACCAGCCCAGCCTGGCTCATCAGCAGGACCAGGAAGGGCAGATCAGTCATTGGGAGCAGGAACTCTTTCCACTCTGCTCCTGTTAACCCTGCAAGCCAAAGCCCCAACAAGTAGGGTGGTCCTACCTGGACAAGCAGCAGGAAAGCTTGCCAGGCAGTGCTCTCAAAGGCAAGTTATGTAATTTTAGCCGGTTAGACTCCAGCAGTTACCCCAACCACACTCTGGGGTCCCCAAGCCTTGGCTCTTTCCAACCTGCACCTAATATGTACTTTCCGGAATTAGTTAAGCAGATTGTGTCCTTCCAAGGAGAGAGTGTGCATTCCATTCCATAAATATCTCTGGGATTTCCATGTGTAAATGGGATAAGGAATGTTCAGCTTGGTTTGGATACTCTTAAGCACGGTGATGGGTTTCTGCATGTGTCAGTCACCTGGCAAACCAAAGATAATCAGCAAAAGCAAGATCTTGTAATCTATAGAAATCATCCTGCAAGCCAAGGGCAGCATAACTTGGAATTGGAATCAGAGTTGGAATCCGTGCCTATTACATGCAAGATTCCCTTTAAAACAGAACTTAAGTTGCCAATTTGGGGGGATTTAAAATCAGACAACAGTCAGTTTGTCTGGGTTTACAGGGACCAGCTGGTTATAGGGGTGAAGGTCACCCATCTGTGGATATTGAAGCGAATGCCCCAGCACCCCTTAATCATGATTGACAATCCCTGAAATCTAGTTCGATTTCTGAAAAATTTGAATTACCATCTCTAATGGCTATCTGCCCTGAGAGGCCCCATTGTGTTTCAGGCCTGACAGCCAGATGCAAACCTTAGCCAAGCCTTTATACTAAGGTCTCAGTTGGCAGCATTCTTGCCTTTTGGGCCAGAAGCTTGTGGGTTTGAAGCCCACTGTGAGATCATGGACCGGCTGAGAATCCAGTGCCACATCCAGAAGTCGTCTTTTGGGGGACGGACTGTCGAAGCCAAGTCTGTTCACCTGTTCAGGTGGAGTTTAAGAGAATTTGGTCATTCAATCCACTGCTGTTTGTGGGACGCTTCTTTGCGCAACTGGCTGCCGCATTTCGACTATAGTGAAATACAGTCATTTCACTTTATAGTATATTCTATGAAGCGTCTTGGGACATGAAAGGAGCTATAACAAATGTCATTTTGTATTGTTTTATACTGTGTTATTATTACTCCTTCCTGCAATGGAATGCACCATTTGTCAAGTGAGACATGAACACAGACAAACCACCTCCAGGCCTCCTTGTGGTCTACTGGGCTCCTCCTTATGGAAAAGTTCCAAACCTCCACTTGACATCTTTCCAAGGCATTAGCTTCACAGAGATCGCTGTCCAAGAAGTGTGGGGAGAAATTTTCGTACTGTACAACGCGCCATTTTGAACGACAGTAAATTCTCATAAGTCTGATCTGGATAAATCGTATCATCGCCTAAGTCATACATCTGCGCAGTCCCTTTCAAACGTTTATATCTTCGGCCAAAGCCCGAGAAAACTTCACTGTTCCCAGACTATGATGCTCAGCGGAGGAGAATCCATTTTAATGCAAAAAAATCACGTGATTGCCTTTCATTGGGTAAACTCCAGGCCTGACGTCTCAAAGCGCTTCACAGAATATACCGTAAAGTGAACGAATTGACTATGTTTTGTGAACAAAACGCAGCAGCCAATTGCTCACAACAGTGTCCTAGAAACAGTAGTGGATTGAGTGACCGTATTATTATTATTTTTTGAAGGGATTATTACCCTGGAAAAGCGATTCGCCGATTGACTAACAACCGGGTTCCTACCTACTGCTGGGTAAACAGGCGTGTGGAGTAAGGAAACTTGCCTAAGGTTTCCCTGCCCGGGAATCGAACCCAGGTCCTCTCACTTGCGAGGCGAGTGCTCTAACCACTGAGCTACAGGACTCCACGACCTGAAAAGTTAACTCACTTTCCTCTCTCCATAGAGGCTGCCTAACCTGCTAAACGTTCCCATCGACTTCTGTTTGTGTTTCAGCTTTCCAGCATCTGAGGTATTTTTGCTTTTTGCCAAAGAATTGAGGCTGATAAAACAGCATCCCCTTGTGGTAACGAACAGCATGTACTCTAATGAGACCAACGTGATTGGGAGAGAAGCTATGAGCAGAAGAAAGTTCCTCCACGTAACTTTTGAATGCTGGCGAAGGGTGCTTGGTTTTACAGCCCTCCTCCCTGTCCTCCCCTTTCTATATCTTTCCTCGGACAAAAGAAGAGGGAAAGGTCCAGAAAACAAATGCAAAACACAAGACTCAATCACGTTTCTTTTTACCTACGAGAAAAGGCCTCAAAAGTAAAGCCCCTTTTCAGCCCGGGTTGATCTTTTGCGATTTGAAAGCCTCCATTTTTTTTTGGGGTGGGGGGTTGGTGGCTTGGGGGGGGGGGGGTGGGGTGCGGGGGGTGTGAGGAGGAGAAGTATTTTTTTAAAAAAACAATGGAATTTGCAAACCAGAAGTCGCCATTAACACAGTTCATCTGCCCGACATTCTTTGCCTTTTAGCGTCCAGTGATTGAAAGCAGTGGAATCATTTTGTCCCCCTAACGGTCTCCTTAACGGTATAATTGTTCTTGCTCTGGACGTTATAATAATAATAATCCTGGCATTTGATACAGCGCCTTATCACGTCTTCGAGATGTCTCAAAGCGCTTCACACTGTAATACACTGTAAATACACTGTATATTTTGTGGGCGAAACTCGGCAGCCAATTGCACACAGCAGCGTCCCACAAACAGTCGTGGATTGAGTGACCAAATTATTATCACTTTATCATTATTATTTTTTGAAGGGATTATTGCCCCCGGAAAAGCGATCCGCCAATCGACTAACAACCGGGTTCCTACTTACTGGTCGGTAAACAGAGTAAGGAAACTTGCCCAGTGTTTAGGTTTCTCGCTTGCGAGGCGAGTGCTCAAATTACTACAAGACTGCACATGCTGAGGGTTTCAATGCCACCTCGCTCCTGTATTATCCCAGGTGCCGAAACTTTGAACCTGACCAATACTTGACAGACCAGGATCAAAAGGGAAAGAGACAGAATGATTGGGAAATAAAAGGCATTACAGCTCTCTGAGGGCCAACATAGGGGCTGTGATTTTAAAATGAATGGACACCACATTCCCCTGCATTGACCTCCATTCCCCTCTCACCGCTTCCCACCCCCCCCCCCACAAAAAAAGATTTACAGCAGTTTACACACCTCCGCCCCCCCCCCACCCCGAAAGAAAATAAATTCACCCACCAAAATTTTACAATGCAACATCCTCAAAAAGAAACAGCCTTTTTAAGAATAACTCCCGTGGAAAGACACGCGAAACATGAGAGAGAGAGAGAGAGCAAAAGAACTATTTATTGGAATTCATGAATATCACAAATGCTCACTTCAACCTCAAAATTAAGAGCTTCTGCTTTTGGAACCGTTTCAGCCTCAAATACGGAATTTTTTTCATGGAATCAGAATCAAAAAAACCCACGAGGAAATGATCTGGATTGAGTTCCCTTCTGTGCACGGAACAGCAAAACCCGACCTGGATTCTCGGGCCTCTTACCTGTCTCCAGGATCTGTTTGAGGCTGGCGTTGCTCGGGGAGCCAGGAGGATGCCTGTAGAGGGTTTCGTTGTCTGCACCTGGTCATGGAAAGAGAATAAAGTCTGAGTATGATGATGATTGATAATAACAACTGCATTTCATAAAACATCTCCAGCAGAGAAAGTTGAGGGGTAAGTGATGGCGATGTCCAAGATAATGTGTGTCAGGCTGTATTTCCTACCAATCAACCTTTGAAAGCCCTCCGAGACTCTATCGGCATATAGGGGGCTATATAAATGCAAGTTGTTGTTGATGTTGTTATAACAGACTACCACTGTACTCAGATGTTTGAAAAGGTGGAATGTTAAAGGGTTCGAAGAGCGAGCAGGGGAGTGGAACTGGTTTGGCTGAAGGGGAAGAAAAATACCAGCGCGGACTTGATGGCTGAATGATTTAATGATTGTATGACCTCGACTGCCCCCCAGGCTGAACAGGCTTCCCCCACCCAGGTGGACATGAGGGAGATCTGGTTGCATGTGTTTGCGAGCCCACGTGCCTTCACGCCAACACGCCACACGTGTTCGGGCACAAAACACGCAAGGGTTTGAGCTGGTTTATGCTCCGGAAAGATTATTAACGCAGAGAAATTCCGTGGTCCGTACCTGGTCTCTCCAAACCCTCGGTGAGCTTCATTACAATCGGCAGCACTTGATCCGGCAAAGTTAACTGCTCGCTCAGCTCTTGCCCTGAGGGAACTGTCAACGTAGAACACATGAAGAATACTTATTATGCCGGCCTGCAGTCTCCTCCGAGCATCCACTGAAATGGATGCTTAATCACGTCCTTTATGTTGACAAAACATTTCATTGCAAAACACCTATTTCTTTTAATCACTTTAGACAAGAATCCGGTTGGCCATTCTGTCAGAGGAACGTCCTTGAACTAACAGCATCTACCAAAAAGTGACAAAAAAAAGTCATGAGACCATTACAATGCCCAATAAGTCTCAAAGAAATTGTAATTTTTTTTAGGTAATAGAGCAGCTGAAAAATAAGATGTTTTGGTCACCCCATATAACTTGTGGTTAAAGGGCGTCACTCTTTGGGCTGCACCAGCAAACGTCAGAGCTGCTTTATGTTCTGGCATCCAGTTTCTCTTTATTTTTTTTGTTGAAAATTTGGAGACTTTAAATGAATAATAATAATGACCGTAATCCTTGCATTTGATCCCGCGCCTTATCACGACTTCGAGACGTCTCAAAGCGCTTCACAGAATATACCGTAAAGTGAATTGACTGTATATTTGCGGGCGAAACGCGGCAGCCAATTGCGCACAGCGGCGTCCCACAAACAGTCGTGGATTGAAAATGACCAAATTGTTATTTAATTTATTTAGTAATAATAATAATCTTTGCATCTGATGCAGCACCCACAACGTCAAAACATCTCAAAGCAGCACTTCGCAGGTCATTAGTGTAAAGCGTGTGTAGGGTATCTGATCTCATCCTTCCAGAACCCACTCGCCCGCCAGAACCCCCAGCATCAGTCATATCTTAACCCAACTTCCCCTTCGCTTGGAAACCGGGGATGTTGTGCTGCTAGCGCTGGTCTGGAATTAGTGACTTAAGCCAATCGGCATCCATATTAGATTTAATTGAGTGGGATCCCAGTGTTATTAATCTCCGGAGGAAAACGGGTGCAGATCTTAGTCTCTCCGCTCCTCCGTGAGCTAATCAGTCTCTCCTAATCGGTTGATATAATGGGGGAATACCTCAGTGCCCACCAGTATCATCACCCTGTATACAGGGTGACCAAAATGTTGTGATACCGTTACAATGTCTAATACGTCTTAAAGAAATGATGATTTTTTAAGTAATTGTTATTCAAATAAATGGTATCACGACTTTCTGGTCACCCGGTAAAGCCCCTCTTCCCCTCCATCCATCACTGAATCCCATGGGCCATCATCTATGAGCACAAAGCACCTCCAAGTCATCTAATGCCACTCCACGTTTCACCTCTCAAACACCTGTTTTTGTTTGCGTTACGTTTCTTCTTAAATAAGTGACGGTAGGCACGGTCGTTGAGGAAGGTCTTCAAGCGCGACCTGAAAATGGGGAGGGGGAGAGGGGACTGGGGGGGCAAGGCGAGAGGATTGAGGGAGAGAGCTCCACAGCTTCGGGGAGCAGTGGCTGAAGGCACAACACAATGGAGACTCCCCTGGACGTTGTACTTCAACACGCTGCATCCTTAACGCCGTTGCAACATCTGCGTGCGTTTTTATTAACCTATTAAAACCTTGTTGATGAGAGATCTGGCGTGTGTTTGGCCAGGCAGATGCTGCTGTGTTTGCATTTTTAATGAAGCAATTTGCAAAGCTTCTGCGGAGAAGCTGACAAAATAAGCAAAGAGCAGGCCGGACTGACGGCAAGGAAACAAGGTCTCGGAGACATTCCTTCAGGCAGAAGAAGGAGAAGGAACCTGTACTGAAGGCCATCGGTGGAAAGGATTTCAGCTAATGTGGCTTTACACATGTGAACTAGATTGATTTTCTGGGATTGAACTGAACACTTTTTTTTGCAGTGTCCTGTGAGTGAATAATACTGACAATCCAAGCATTTGATGTAGCGCCTTTCACGTCAATAATATTAACAATAATAGTCCTTGCATTTGATACAGAGCCTTATTACGTCTTCGAGACGTCTCAAAGCGCGTCACAGAATATACTGCAACGTGAATTGCCTGCTTATTCTTGGGCGAAACGTGGCAGCCAATGGCGGGCAGCAAGATTCTGCACAATCTTAAAATGGTAAGACAAAGCTGGGCTTCAGGTTAGGACTGGATGGAAGTTGGGGCCTATAGTCCACTCTAAATTCTCAATCTGCATTGTGTACATCACGCCAGGAGTGAGATTCCTCGTGCTCGAATCCTTCCCTTTTAGCAACGCCACAGATACTGAGACGCTTTGCAATGTGGCTTCTGCGACTATAATTTCAGAGTTCTTATTTCAATTCAAAGTTGTAATTAAAAAAAGACACAAATAGACGCAAATAGTGATGCAGCGCCTTGTCCCAACCCCACTCAAATAAAGGCAGCATCAAACCATGATAACTTTTGTTTAACGTACACTAGAATTTTAGTTTAAAAAGCCAACGGGGGAAATGTATTTCATAAGAGCCCTTTTTGGCTGCTTTTCTCCCAGCATTAAAGCCAAACACACGAGCAATGGGTTGGAATAGGCTAAGCTGTACATTGCCTGGTAAGTGCTCCCTCCACCGGCCTCTCAGGTCACTGCAGCTGCTCCGAGCTTCAAATACAAGACTGCAATTTATTTCCAAATTGTATGGGAACAGTATCACAGGATCTACTTCGACCACATCAACAAAGCTCATTCCCCTCGCTTTAAACCCACACTCTCCCGCTTTCCATCTGTTTTCTGCAGGATTTCCAATCAGGAAACTAGGCGACGGATTATTCCATGAATTATTATTCCATTAACTCTAAATTAAATTAAAGTAACTCTCAAGTGTTCCACACCAATAATAATAATAATAATGTGGACTAACCTGGTGGCAATCAAACTGCTTTGGAGGGAGGGAAGGGAAGGAAATTGGTTAAAAATGGGTTGGGGGGGAAATCTCAATAAGTTTTATTTAAGTCCAGGGTTTTTTTTAAATAAAAGATGCCATTTAAATAAAACTGCTCCATGACGGTTGTGGTGCTGAGATAACAACACGTGAGGTTGCGGTGTCAGAGGTCTTGTCCTTCGGGTGAGACACCGAACCGAGCTCCCGTCTTTAAGCGCTCTGAGACGCCGTCCGGCGTGGAGGGCGCTATATAAATCCAAGTTGTTGTTGTTGTTTGCCTGATCACAGGATTGCTGTGTGTCACAGCAGCAGAAACCCGCACCTCCGCTGGTTCTGTTGTGCCGCAGAATCTGCAACGTGCAGCGCTCGTGATTTCCACGAGGTGGCGCAAGGGCAGTTCAAACAATGCACCCAACCAGCGCGGAGGACCGGTCAATGTTACCCCAACGCTGGGGCTCAGTGACGCTCCAACCAACTACACCGTCGGTTGTGGACTTGGGAGCACAGCACAGCTGCAGGTGTTGGGTGATGGAGATTCTCTTTTACCTCTCCCTACCTCAACCACAACAACAACAACAAGATTGCATTTATAGAGCGCCTTTCACGTCCCAAGGCACCTCATCATTGATATATATATATATACACACATATATATATATACACACATATATATATATGTGTGTATATATATCAATGACAGGGTGCCTTGGGACGTCCTATATATATATGTGTGTGTGTGTATATAATTTAAAAAGCTGTGTTTGATGTTCAATGCAATACAGTATATATTTAAGAGGTCGATCACGTTGGAAGCACATCCTAAAGTGCATTCACTGGGCTGGGTGGGTATGAGACACATACACACACACACACACTCCCACCCACATATTTATGCAGGATTTTTTTTTCTTCGACTGCAAAATGTAGTGAGTGTGCATTTGTGGGCGAATTTAATAAACCGCGCGGTTCGGGGAGAGTATCGACGGTTTTTGAGAGCCTCCCAGAACGGCTTTTATAAACCACTCAGAAAAAGTCTCTCGCTCGATAAAAGAACGTTTCACAAATTTCTTCTTCTGGTCAGACATTTCCCTCTCTGGCTCCCCCTTCTCTCTCTCTCTCTCTCTCTCACACACACACACACACACACACACACACACTCCCTGCCCCTCTCTGGATCGCCTCAGCCTTATGCTTTCAACTGACTTATGCCAGAAGGAATTTTTCTCACACTCCGCAGCGAAGATATGCTTTCTACGCATTTAATGCCAGCATCCTTGCTGCCGTGCTGTGCCAAGGACATCCAGTTACTATCAGTTACAGTGAAAAAAAAACCTCAGCCAGCTTTCACTCGTCCATTGGGGGTCCCAGCATACAGGCACAAACATGCTAATAAGGTATTCGAGACTGGGCCAGTTCTCCCCTAAGGAGGAGAGATGCCAATTGCCAGTATTAACCAGGTTATTGTACTAACAGAACTCCTCACACACAACAAACAGAAAGGGTTATCAGGACACAGAACGAACCTAGCACAAGCTACACAGTCAATTCACTTTACAGTATATTCTGTGATATCAAACGAAGGATTATTATTGTTATCAAACACTTCTATTGAAGCAGAATCCATGCTACCTCTTCATAAGTGAATTAGAGGGCAGTAAAAACCCTGTTATAGCGGGCTCTGTATGACACAAGGTCGCTTGGCATGCTTTCTTTTAGTAAATAAAAGGTTCGGGAGGTTTACGAGCAGATGGTGAGACACAGCGAAGACTGTAATTAGATTCCAGACAGTGCTTTCCGCGACATTCACAAACCATTGCAATGCCTTTTACATGGTTTAGGTTGTTGGAGAGTTTCGGAAGAGAACAGCTTAGACAGCGTTTCTAGAGTATCTGTGGTTTTCGCTGGACACGAGTTGAATGCCTTCCTTTCCAGGCCCAGGGAAATTTCCACGTGTGTGGAGTGGAGCTCTCAGTACGGATTTGTTAATGAGTTCCTGCGAGTCAGACTTATAGAAAAACCTTAGTGTCATTTTTAAAAAAAAACATGTGGACTCTTATTTGGACATTGGGATCAAACTTGTGACATTTGCAGAGCGGATTTTTGATGTTAAATACATGTAACTCCTACATTCGATAACGTGCCTTATTGACAAAATGTCTCAAAGGCCCT